CCTTAAGTCATTTAGAAGGTAGACTGCTTTATAGTTGCCTGGGGACCTAGGTATGCTTTGGGTTAGGAGAACGAAAGCGGGGTGTTAGGGGGGGGGGGCAGAGATTAAAACACGCCAGCAGGATTTCTGAGATACTCAAAGTAGACTTGTCTACTCTAGAATCGAATTCAAATCCGCCAGGTGCAGAGACGAAGACCCTTATCACAATATGATATTGTCAATCACCACTGATGATGCTAGTTTTGCAAATTTACAGTTGTGACGTCACAACAACAGGAAAAAAACTGACAAAAAAGCTAAAGCAAAGTCTGACCTTATCAGTTTACGACAGACCTTCTCAAATGTCGTTCCTGCTTCAATACTTCCACTTGCGGCCCGCCCTATTCACCTTTCTCCCCCCTCCCCCCTCCCCTCCCCCACGAAATAAAACCAATTCTAAAAAAAACAAAACCAAAACGACAATACCTTTTTGGAATTTTTCCACTCTCATGTTGTGCAATGGGGTTATATCAGGTCGTATTAACCGCTGAGCCGTCAGGTCTAAATTAGACTTCGCTTTTCTCAAACACGACTCAATAGAAAACACCTTGTTGGGGTAAATACGATGCGGCACTTATCTAGATCCGAGACACACATTTTGACGATGATATCTTTGTATAATTCCCTCTGTTCTGACGTTCTAATAGAAATACTTCAAACTATCATGTTTACAAGTTTCAAAATAAATGTTTTGAAAAATAAAAAGGAAGAATAATGCATCTTGAAATACTTCACACTGTGACGTCATACAACCCTTTCTCCCACAAGAAAACAGATTAAAGGAAAACGAAGAGACAGCAAGCAATACATTCAAAAGTAATGTCATAGATACTTCAAATGATATGCTACCACCCCCAACCCCCAAACACATACGCATCCAATAAATGAAACGACCAAGCTAAAAATAAAGCAAAAAACACAAAAACAACAAATAAACAAAAAAACAACAATTTTTTTTTAAAAACAGCAACAAAACCGTTCAATCTCAAAGGAAAAAGGTAGAAGTATTATCGGTGCTGCGATGATACTACTGTAAAAAGGTTATACTGATCGATCATGTGCAGAAGGGAAAGAAGGGGATGGTGTCTTGTGCGGTCGTTGTGAAGGAGGGGAGGAGAATAAAGGGCCGATACTCGTGTGGTTGCTCATTATTAACAAGATGGCTCAAGTGAGCTCTTTTCTCGGGGGGATCTTTCGCAACCTCACTTTACAAGGAGTTTTTGCAATACAGTATACTTGCGTCAGTATGTGTTTGGTACTAAGGTAAGTCGGCTTTTTTATTATGTAGATTTTTTTTACGTTTTCGATTTTAAGTATAACTAATCATTTATTACTTTTAAGACTTTTAAAAAGCAATCTGTAAGCGACTCTGGGAGTTTTTAAAAAACGTTGAATAAAGAGTATTTGAAAGGAAACTGGCGTTTTAGCATGCGTCTTACTGCTTAAGATAAAGGTGTCGATTTTTGACTGAATTAAAAAAAAAAACAACCAAAAAACATTAAAACATACACACAGAACAAAACCTAAACTTAGTCAGATTAGCCAAGATATTAGTAAATTAATGAGTGTTTAAAAGTGTTCTTAAATTTTTTTTAAAAAACCGAATAATTTCGTAGGTCTGAGTCCGGAAGGTGTATTGTTTAGGCCCTAATGGGAAATTACATAACGTTATGATTAGATATGTCATGTCTGGTATTAACAACGAATGAGAGCAAAACGTCTTTTGGTGAATAATCAAAAGATTTTTCCTCACTTCTTTTCATCATTAATGCTTAACTTGCATTTATAATTTAATCAATAAAAACATACTTAGTTTTGTTATTTCAGTATTCTCTCTCTCTCTGTCTCTCTCTGTCTCTCTCTCTCTCTCTCTTTCTCTCTCTCTCTCTCTCTCCCTCTTTCTCTCTCTCTCTCTCTTTCTCTCTCTCTCTCTCTTGCTCTCTCTCTCTGTGTCTCTGTCTCTCGCTCATTTTCATATCTCAGTCGTTCTCCACTCTCATTTTTGCTTTCATTCACTATATCTCTCTCTCTTTCTTTTTCTCTACCTCCCTATATCTCTCTCCCTATTCTTCCCTCTCTACCGCCTC